AGGAAAATTTGAGCGACATAACCGTTTAACCCACACAGTTTCATTAAAAGCAATTTTAAAGGGAAAAAGGTCTACAGTCTCTCGGTAAAGTGTTTTTTTTATAGGTGTTTAGAGCATTGATTTATCATTAGGCGTCTTTGTTTTGAAATAAAACAGTTTTTTCCTTCTCCTGTAAAATTTACCTCGCTGGGGTTAGTCGGTTTTATCACAAAGCCGACGATAGCTTGACTTGGACCTGACTCTTTTTCTGAACTGTCACTTACTCACTTCCTAAAAGCAGCACAAATACACAACAATAGCACGCCAGAAGCAACAATAAAGATCACAAAAACACCGCAGCACCGAGAGCATTATTTATTCAGTACATTTTATACAGCAGAACGGCAGTAAAAAGATTTTGTTAACTCTTTAAGAACGAAGCGACGCATGTGTCCAACCAGTAATCAGTAACAGACCAAAGGCGACGTTGCGGCACGTTTTGAACCATCGTACACAAACCTAATAGGTCAATTTGCATATTTCATAACCTGCATACATTTTTGCATGCCTCATTAAAGTTTCAGACAAAGAAAACAGAATGGAAAAATCTGCTCGAAAAACGAAACTATTCTTCTATATTTTTAAAGTATGTACTCCGAAACAGTGCGTCTTCAATGAATTAAACATTGGGCCACCAAAACGGCCAAAAACAAATATGCAGTGTATGTCAGTCCAAAGGTAAATATACCGACAGCTCCGTTGCCACCAGTGGGCGCCACATAAGGCGATGTGGGTAGTGATTTGTCGTTACAGTAGTGGTTCCCATCACCACAGATGTAGTAGCAGTCGTTTTCGGCGCCATCCCTAACGCAGCCTTGCTTCCGATTCCCCTTGCTTGCATAACAACCACGAAAGGTATAGGTGGGTTTACCCGTGACTGTTGGAGAAATAATAGGAATAACGACATGAGGTTGTGTGAATGTCCAAATGACTAATAATTAGTGAACTTTACATCTGAGAAAACGAGAAATAACACGTTTAAACAGCTGAGTCGGTAAAATAACCAAGTAATACATTTCAGGGAACGTATCCCCCCCACCCACCCCCCCACCCCCAAAATAAGATCTGTAAAAACTAAGAGTATGTATCGTCGCTTTGTGCGCCGTCCTTGATTCTCCAATATCAATCAAGTAAGATTATAAAGAACCCGTCTCCTTACACGCGACGCGACGTCTAGCCACGCGCGACCGTCACCTGCGATGGGTCCATTTAGCAATCCAGACCTCGTCGCCTGCGACAGACTGGGAGTGTGACAAGTTTAAAGCATCACCATTGGTCAAAATACCTGGCCAAGGAGTGTCGGTCGACACGCCGTGTGTGTGATGTGTGATGATAAGGATACACACCTCGCGACTCGTCGCTAACGACTGTCGAGCGCAACGCAAATACGCGTCGGGCTGAAGGAGACATAGGCTAAAATAAAATTTAGATAAATAAACGACCCCCCCCCCCCAAACTAGTCAAAGAATAGAATTCGGGCAGGCCACTCTGAATTATTCTGATTTATCCGACATTCTTACAAATTTGCGTCTGTGGCGCAGCAGTCAGTCTCTTCACTTTGTCCCCAAAAGACCCCAGTTTCGTTCTAAAGTAGGGAAGGTATCCTCCTGAATATCTACGTATATGTCTATCGAATGCGATATACTCGTACATGTACATGTATTATCCTGTTCCAGAGATACAGGTTCAAATCAGTTCATTTCTTGTTAGTCATCGTGTTAGAAAAAAAAGGTTGCTAAAAGTGTGTGTGTGTGTGTGTGTGTGTGTGTGTGTGTGTGTGTGTGTGTGTGTGTGTGTGTGTAGGGGGAGGGGGTGGTGGTGGTGAGTGGGTTGGGAGGGTGGAGCTAGGTTTTTGTTATTTGGTTGGTGTTTTTTTTTGCAAAATCAAGTAGTGTAAACTGTCCCCACGCATTACGAGGATCACCCGCTGTTTGCTGTTTCTGTAAGACATACCTGCAACGGCACTGTGATCCTAACAGGGACTCTGGATGTTGCCCATTAGGTCTAGTGGTTGAAATGGGGTGTTCAACTGTACTTTTACCGGTTTTCTGAGCCATAGTTTGATCCGAGTCAAGTAGCCCATATTAAGTATATTCCGTGGAAAAGGTTTGAACCCCCCCATAATGATGCAATGGATATATACATTTTTTGAGACTCCAAAATCTCATGGATCGTCATTTGTTACAACGAAGGAGTATTACACAGGTCATACCGTGTATGCCTGTCTTTTTGACAAATACTGTTGTCTATTGGTACCTGTGCCTAAGTTTTCCAGACCAGTTGGTCGTTGGGCCTGATCTTGGGGAGATCAAAGTTTATTTTTGTTGATTTCCGATTGATACGTTTATGTTTGAATGGCTGGCTTTCCGACATGACCTTTTATTGAAGGCTGGCGAATTTTAAAAGAAGTCTTTCCTTTTGTATGGGCCAGCCACTGTTGACAGGAAGTTCGATACAGCAGCATTCAAAGATGGAATCTCAGCGTTGTCCAAACTATTTTTCTTGCCCTTCCAGGAATTTATTGTTCTTAAAAAGGACTGAGTGATCTGCATTCAAAAGTACATACCTTGTGTCTAATGGGGGTGGGGGTGTCGAGGGTAAACTTTAACAACAATAGTAAGCCAACACAGCAGTTAAATGTATCGGCTCGCTGAAATTTGTATTCTTTTTCTGTTTCTATGGGGTGGTGGCAACTCACATGCAGAAAATCTAGCCAAGGTCACGCAGTAGCCCTCACATTGGGTCCTTGGGTTGCCCTCGGTCCAATTGCTCGGGGCACTTGCACATTCCTCACCTCGGCCTCCAGCCACGTACTGGCAGGACCAGCACATCTGTCTGCCATCTATATGAAAGAGAAAAAGAAAACGGAAAATAAAAGGACCTGGAACTCTGGGACCTGGTAGTGAAATACAATGACATTTCTTGCCTATATCAATAAAACTTCGTGCAAATAAAATACAACCGGAAAGGGGGGGGGGGGGGGGCGTCAATGTTATCAATATGAAGAAAATCAAATTACACGTTAGAAAAAAAAATCACGTTTAAATGTTGTTTTTTGTGGGTTAAATTTGTGGGTTAAAAAACCCACCAAAACAGATTGTAACATTAAACTTTGCAACTTCTTAAAAATTAACTAGAGTGTATATAGTTTATCAGGTGTGCAATGAAGAACAAATTTATATAAAACTGGTACTGTTAAATAAACTCAGGTAAGGTCTCGGCTGTTCTAAATTGTATGCGTCAGGTTTTGAACAATTGTCCCCAGACAAGCTCCAGTTCGCCATTGGAAGTTTTGAATAATCCTGTAACATGTTTCTGGAGACTATGTCTGTCAAAAAAATCCCGTAACTAAATAACTGAGGGGGTTCAAGTCGGAATACACGGTGACAATTCATGTATTGTAAGCTTTCGGTTTATAAGGCGTTCCCCAAAAATTTCTTGCAACCATACAATGGACCCTCATAACGTGAGGGGTGTGGCTCCATCCCACTGGAACCAGACCTCTTCAACAGCATAACCCCCAATCACTTCCCAAAACTTTCTCCGCACTTTGAGATATCCATCCAAGTAACTTTTTGCGTTTTGTTCAAATTTAGTAGAAATTTAGAAACGTTTCTATCAAACGTTTATCGTCCTGATCTCTTCTCCTTTTTGTGTTTGTAGTTCTCTTGTAACACCTCTAATCTTCTGCACTTTTTGTACTGCAAGTGCTGTAAAACTCCTATTAAACTAAGTAATAACCTCATTCCACTTTATTAACATAATTCGTCTTAAACATTCTGTGTGGGTGGTTGGCGGGTGCTCTGGTGTGGTTTTCTCCTTCTTTCCTATCAAACATCTATCGTCTTTATCTCCCCTTCTTCTTTTTTATGTTTGTTACTCCCTTCTAACACCTTTAATCTTCGGTACTTATGTGACTTTATTGTGTTACAAGTGCCGCAAAACACTTACTAAAACAAAAACAAAACCCATTCTGTTTAAAAGTATATTAATTGTTTGTTTTCTATATTGTGTCGTTCAAACAGACTGACCTAAAAGGTGCTGACAAAAATCATGATGAAATTGTCAACATTTGAAAATGCGAAATGGTATAGGTTTTTAACTCCCTTATCAACACTATTAGGTAATTAAAGAAACATGCGATCTTACCTGGGTAAGTGAAGCTTGTTTCTGATTTTGTCGAGTAAGTCATCAGGAGGTGAATGGGAAGATGAGAAGGCCTGCGTTTCGCGCCGCTAGTCATACTTTAGATCACGATAGTCACATTCTCAATTTTGTCAGCTTAAAGCATGGAATGCTTTTGACATTTTCTCAAATTAAAGCATGGAATGCTTTGACTTTGTCTCAAAGGGAGGGAAAGGGTGGGCATCTTCCCACTCAGCTCCTGATGACTTACTCGACAAAATCAGAAACAAGCTTCCCTTACCCAGGTAAGATGGCATGTTTCTTTAATTTTATCTCGCAAGCCATCAGGGCTTCGAGGTAAGATGAGACTTTAGAGCCAGAATGTAACTATCGAGTCGCTAAACCGAATTAGGACAACTGCCTTTCAAGCAAAGCCAAGAGAACATTGTCACATAATAAAAATAATATGTTTGTAAAACAATTTGTAAATCATCATGAGTGTTTATTTGCTGGTGACATAGTGATGATATCTGCATGCGTAATATGCAGAACACTTAAATGCAATAAATCATATGCATGCGGAATAAAGTTAAAAGAAGAAAAAGTGACATGCAATGTCCAGTCCATTTATACAAATCAGTAACACTGAAAATAGTAAAACATTTTCCAACGTCATGAATTTTGTTGAGATAGTGGTATGAGGTATAGACATGTAATGTCAAATCGTTTTTTAATTAAATGGAATTATTTTACTTCATGTTGCGTAAGTAAAGAGTTTTCTTCCACCAAACAAGTGATGAGATAATGATACCGTACGTATAAAGTTGACATGTAATGTCCAATCCATCAGCGTAAGAATCAGTTTCATGCTGCATGAAATAAAGAGACCTTGTCCTCCCTGATTTGTGATGAGATAATTATACACAAATAAGGCGCATGTACTCTGTCCATCAACTAATGCAATGTAAACATGAGCCATTCAAATAAAGTAAACATCCTTCAACTTTATGAATTGCAGTAACAATATTATACACAGCATAGACTTGTAAAGTCCAACTGCTCAATGCAATAAATCAGTTTTAGTCTGCATGAAGGAAAGAATCCTTTTCCCACCATGCCGTGTCATTGGATGATAATATGTACAGAGTCGTGACCTGTAACGTCCAATGAACCAAAGCAAAACCGTAGTACGGTGATTAACATACAGAATATTTCAATCCTTACAAGTTTTGTAATAATGATGTTAGTATAATACATGTATAGATATTAATATATAATGTCCGATCAATAAATGCAATAAGTCATGTGGATTTTGAAAAGTATGTGTCTAGCAGACGTTGTCCGAAGTTGTGTTTTACTTGCTTTTGTAAAATCGAGTAAAGGTACTCTCTTGCGTCCAGCCTGCTGCCTCTAAAATTGTAGTGAGTGGGACACCTGCTTCAGAGGCAGCTGATGTGCTCGCAGAGCGAGTGCTATGCGCAGAGAATGCAATGTCAATACCTGCCAGGTCCAGAACAGATTTAATCCATCTGCATAATGTGTCCTTACTTATGGGCAAGTGTGGCCTTTTGAAACTGATCAGGAGACGACTTGTGTTGTTGTGTTTCCTATGCTCTCCTGTCATGTTCAAATACACAGTCAGTATTTCTACGATGCAAAGTTGTGGGCAATTTTCAAATGCCAAAAATTCGAGAGGCTTCTGGTGACAACCCTTGCGAGAATGCTTCAACAGATTTGAAATGAAAAATGTACATTTGTTTGATGTCAAAGTCATGCAGTTAGTGTCTAATTTATACAAAGTTTGACACCTTTGTCCAGACAGGAGGGCCAACAACATGACGAACTTTAAAGACAGTTCTTTTAAAGTGAGGCTTTCATGGGGGTACCATGTTTCTAGAAAAGAAAGTACTGTGTTTACATCCCAAGTGGTTACTCTGCTTTTTAGAGGCAGACTAGGTCTAGACTCAAAAGGTCCTTTCATAAATCTCCTAACTTGAGGCAGGTTACCAAAAGATTTTGAACAATTTTCCACGTTGATATAACATGTCAGGGCAGACCTTCCAATGCATAAAGCACAGTACGATTTCCCTTCCGTGACTAATGTAGCAAGGAAATTGAGCGCAACGTTTAATGGCGATGAAATTGAATCCACTTGTTGGAGGACCGCGTACCGCTTCCAGTCTTCAATGTATCGGTGATACGCCTTCTTTGTTTCATTTCGCCACGAGGACATGAGAAGGTCGGTTGCAGCTCCAGAAAGGCCTTCACTTTCGTATTTTTCCCTGACACTTGCATATTAGCAAGCGAAGCTTTTTGTTCAAAGGATGTTTCTGGTCCGGACTGCTTGGTAGGTGGAGCAAATTTTCCCTTGCAGATAGAAGGACTGGCTTTCCGACGAGGATTTGCATTAGAAGAGGGAAAAAGGCTGTGTGGGCCAGCATAGTGCCACGACGATCCCGTCTGCTTCGTCCTTCTTCATCTTTTGTACATGTATGACTCTGGATATGAGAGAGAAGCAACGGGATCTGCTCTGTAGGATATGTATTTTGGAAATTGTTTGTTAAGCCAGGAGGCAAAAAGATCAATGTCTGGTTTGAATTGTAGCACTGAAAGTGAAGATTTCAACAGAGATGCGCTCAACATCCATTCTGCGTCAATGTTCATTGTTCTACTTTCTTTGTCCGCATCTACATTATCTTTCCCAGCTATTCTTGCTGCTGATAACCACAAGTTTTTATTTTCACACCATGCCCAGACTTTCTTCGATAAATTATCTAGTGAGAGGGATTTGGAGGATCCCATTTTGTTCAAACAAGCCATGGTTGCGGTATTGTCAACAAAGATTCTGATGACTGCGGGTTATTTTTTAGCCCTTTGGAAAAGGATCTTAAAGCCAAGAAAGCAGCTTATAGTTTTAATTCATTGATATGCAGTTCTTTCTCTTCTACTGTCCACGCCCCCCCCCCCTCTGTTTTCTCATTTCCGCACACAGCGCCCCACGCAAAGAGACTCGCGTCACTGAAAATTACTAGGTCCGGATCAGGGCAAGAAATCGGGGAAACACTAAACAATCCGTGCCGGTACCACCACTTAACTTCTTCCAGTGCCGATCTCGACAAATGCATCACACTATCCCAATTTCCTCTAGTTTTCATAATTGCCTGCACCTTTTCCCTTTCTAGGCATCTGTAGTGGGCGGGGCCAAACGGTACCGCGGGGAAACATGATACAAGTAAGCCGATTAGACGAGCTACTTCTCGTACAGGTTGGGCCTATACGTTCTTATACTATCCCTCTGAACGTCTAGGGATGGGCCGACCTTCGTAAGAATGCCCTGCAATGACTTTCTACTCGTTCCCTTTTTTCTTTTGACAGATAAACGGTCATTGTGACTGAGTCAATTTCGAACACCAGATATATAATTCTCTGAGAGGGTTTGAATGACGATTTGTGTGGGTGAACCACAAAACCAAGCCGATTAAATAGGGAAACTGTATCTGACACATTCTTCTCACAATTTTTTCAGCGTTTCCCACGAGCAATGAATCGTCGAGATAACTCGAACTGACATGACCGATACTATGAAGATGGGAAAATATGGGTTTAGTAAGCTTTGTGAAGTTGTGGGGCGCTTGAGCCAAGCCGTTGGGATAACAAGTAAATTTAGACAGTTTGTCTTTCCATTTGAATTTCAAGAATTTTTGATGTTCTGCTGCTATGGGGACACTGTAGTAAGCCGAAACTAAATCAATGCTAGCCATAAAACAGCCTGGACTAAGCAGGGTGAGCGCAGACTTTAGGGTTTCCATTTTGAATATTATGTAAACTAAGCTCTTGTTCAAATTTTTCAAATTCAGAATCACCCGGAAGGTACCATCTTGTTTTTCTCTCGTAAAGATGCCAGAGACAACGTCACCTTGTTCGTGCAATGTTTCAACTATAACTTTCTTGTGTAAAAGGTTCGATATTTCTTTGTCTATAGCTGTCATTTCCTCTTGAGTAAAGGAAATACTCCGATTAGTGCAATAGTATGGTTTTGCACTTTCACAGCTAAAGCCAATTTTTGTTCCTTGTACCATTTCAAGGATCTGGGAGTCAGATGTCAGTGTCCGCCATTCTGATATCCTGTCTTTGATTTGACCTGCTTGGAAAGCATTCATTTCTTCTACGAGACAGTCAATTGCTGCAGAGCTATTGTCGTTCGAATGAACTTTTCACTTACCTGAAGGTTTTCTTCCACTATTTTTGCTTTTTGCGGAACTGTTGTCCCATCTGTCGAAAAGAGCGTTTTTGGAAGTGGCGACCCTTTTGTTGTTTTTGCCCGAAGGGCTTCTGTCTTCTTAAAAAAGACTTGCCTTTGTTAAATGGTTTTGCAGTGTAACTGCTTTTTTCTGTGAGGCTGAAAGCCAATCGTTTTTCGTCTTTCGCTTCTCGGAGAGTTTTCTTTACATCCTCTCCGTAAAGCAGTTTGCTGTTTCCTGCCTCGACATCACACTCTCCTTTGTAATCATGCGGAAGCGCGTAGCGCTGAGCATCTTTTCTGAACGCTGTCAGATGCTGAAGCGCGTGTCCCGTGATTGACAAGGCATTTAAAAGGTGCCCCATAGTCGATTGAAAATCAAGATCTCTCTCCTTTTTTTGCTGGAGATTATCAATTGCCGTGGCCACTGCCGTGGCGACCTTGGCAATATTGGTTTGTGTGTTTGTGAGGCGCGCATCGTTTCGACGGTATGGTGCCCGGAGGGCTTTCCATTTGAAATTGTTTGTCTGCGGAGCAGATAGCTGAGGGCAATTGGATGGTTGTTTGTATTCCCCTAATTTTTTCTTCAGAATGTTGTCGCTTAATTTCTTTTGGAAACGATTGGCGACAAACTTTGCTAATGTGTCCGAAATTGGTGGACCCACTTCATCCTCCATCAACAATTCTGCCTCAGCGTCCTCGAAGATGTTTTCCCTACAAGTACTATTATGATCCGCGGGGTTTAAATTTGCAGCACCCCTTATTTCTTTCTCCATCTCATCTGCTGATGTTTCAACCTCTCCGGGGGGAACAGAGCGGTCAGTTCGGTCACGTTGACCTTCACCGGCCTCACGCACCGCGCGAGATAGAAAAGAGGATGAAGGAGAGCGGGGGAGGGTTGGAGTGCACCGTTTCGGTGAAGGAGAATTAACCCTTCTCTTTTGTTTCTTTCTTATTGGGGAACAGGGTGGCGAAGATGATGAAGAAGAAGATGACGATGAAGAGGAAGAGGAATTTTCATACCTTAATTTCTTTCGTCCTCTTATTTTGCCAGATACTTTGTTCGACTTTCAAATTTTTGTTAATAGTTTTGTCTGCATCTCAATAGCAGACAAAAGATTTGCCTGTACCCCAGGCATTTGATTCCCATCATTATCGGGTCCTTTTTGTTCTGATACCGGACTTTCGTTTTGAGCCGGTTTCTTATTATCCCCTGGCCCAGTACAATCGTCGTCTTCAAAGTCAAAATCTGCCAGGTGGAATTCGTCTGTCTCTATTACGGACATGTTTGTAAATATTATTTCAAATTTGTTCACGTCTTTGAAAAAGAAAGCCTACTCACATGAGTCCCAGGCAAACAGGAAATCTTAGAAAAAGGCTAATAAACCAAAACCCGCAGGAACAAAAAATTTTAAACCAAGAGAAAAACGAGGCGTGGCCGCACGGTGAGAGAACTCAGCCAAAAGTGACCAGCGGCGCGAAACGCAGGCCTTCTCATCTTATCTCGAAGCCGTGATGGCTTGCGAGATAAAATTCAAGAGGCGCGAGCTTCAAGTTTAATCCTTGTCAAGGTGACAACCTCGGATCGAGCTGAGGCTCGAACCCCCAACCCGCAATCTCACGACTACAAGTCCGGTAGCTAGGCTACCGACGCTACCTCAACCTAAGTTGTGAACTTATGGTACAACTGAATGTTTAAAAAAATTCACTGTGATTTTTGCTACTCCGTGGTTGTTACAGGTCGAATAAAAACCAGTTATTTATATGCATTAAATGTATAATATAGCCTGTATTCGTTTTGTTTGTTGAAGTGTATGATTGACACTGCAGTCGAAGAAGGTATACGGGAATGAACAAAGTTCCAAAACAAATAATCAATTAAACAATCAAATAAGTAAACCCAAAGAAACCCCCTCACATAACACTTACAACAATAACCCCCCCCCCCCCCACACACACACAAAAACACTCACCGACAACAAAGAGGGTAACAACAGTAAGAAGTAAACCACTGATCAAGATGGCGGAAGTTCCCATGGCCTTCACAGGTTTTCGAGCTGCCTCCTTAAAAAGTTCAAAAGTCTTGAGAATTCCTCAGGTTAGACTTTTAAATTCTTGTAGCCTTTCCTTTCACTGCTGTCTTCAATAGAAAATCTGCAACAAAAAGGAGTGGAGAAAATAAGAATCAATGATCTCAATGTTGTATCTTGAAAAGGTACAAATGAAGAAGTTTGTAAGCGTGAGTGTTAGTGTAAGTGTATATGTTTGACGCCCATATCAACACTATTAGATTATTAAGGAGGCAGAACTCCGAATTAAACGTCCATCCCCCGGAGGACCGAGCCAAATTGGTTGAGAGCCTTGCATGCAAACTTCACAAAATGACCTGAGCTCAAGAACACCCAGTCAGGGATTCCAACCGGGGCCATCCGCTCTATAGTTCAGCATGATACCAACTGAGCTAACAGAGCACTCCTGAACAAGTCTGAAAACAGAAAATGATACATGAAGATTCACGCAACCCCTTAATTTCCCTTTCCCTGAGCTAAGGGTATGTAGGCCAATAGCGCCTACCGTATATTTTAGCCAGCTGAAAACCTATGTGATGCAAGTATGGCCTCTAATTCAAACTCTGAAGGAACCCTGGCTAGTCATTTTGTCCGTGATCTCTGAAAAATGAGACAACAAGTTGTAAGAAAGCATTGCTGGTCTCAAAATATTAAACCAAATAGCTGAAACTCCTGGTTAGGACAGACACACACTGACGGACAGTCATCTTTCTGTCTCTTCTATACACATCAGTCACAAGCATAGACCATTATTATTCTCATACAAAAAGATCACTCTATAGTCTATTGGTTTTAGAAATGGTTCCCCTTCATTAAGCTGACAGAAGAGGCTCCAAGGAGTTCTTATATCTTTCAGTTTTTGAAGCAAGCTGAAGGATTTTGAAAATTGATTCTAGCAGATCTATGTATGCTTCCTGGAGATGGTGTTCAGTATAATTAATTATGGAGTCATATTAACGAAAACAAGCATTTAAATATATTATGTCAACGTCTTGAAGCTTACAATTTACTATTTTCCTTGCGTTCTTAAAGATTCGTGTTCTGTTTGTTCCATGCAAAGCCCCAACAAAGGGTGACAAAATTTTTTTTGCGCTTTGTACGAGGACTGGCACACTTTTCAAGTTTTTGTAGATAGGTATCGATGCTACAAATCGAACGTATTTTTTGCCTCGAAATAACATTTATTATTATTTAACAGTTGGTAAGATAGTTGTATAATTCTTCTCAGCTCTCTGTCCTTAAACGTTGCTCTAAAAAGTCACATTGGAAGATAGGTTTACGGACGTGTAAGATCCTCATTTTACGCAATAACTCAGACACTTTTAATCTTTCACTTACTCTGTCTTCACACATTAGGCTAGCTCCAGAGTAAACGGATTTTTTATTAGCTTACTTCACTCCACGACTTGGTCATAGAGTCGATATTCTTTTCATAATCTGATCCCGGTTTGAAGGCTCTCTCGTCCGGTTACGTGCAGTGCATGTTCATAACACCGGTGGTATCGCATGTTTGGAGATCACTACACGGTCGAGTTAGATACTTTACTCTCATGACCCAGAGAATTCAGCCGTGTCCTGAGATGCAGGAATATATTATTTTTTTCTCCATCAACTGGTGCGGTTGCTTATTCGTCACCTCATTTCAATGGTTTCGGGTGGGTTTTAAAGAGGGTAGGGCTAGCCGTGACCAAACACTGAGATCCCTCAGATTATAAAGACTTCATAATGACTGAAAAGACAGTGAAACACGCATAGAGATTAACCCCCCCCCCCCAATGGAAATGTAAAAAGATTCAAAGGTATTATATATTTTTAGTGGCAATACCACGTTTAAAACCAGGAACATGGAATCACCTATGCGTCTCTATACATGATTTGTGTCCTTTAGGATTTATGTTTAGCAAATTTGTCAATTGCTCTTTGATTGAACGATGCATTCTTCATGATGCACCACTGATGATTAGAACATCTCTTTTGCCTTCCATCCGTAAACGGATGCAAAAGTTCTGCTGTATAATGTGGTCTCAGCTTAGCTTCACGTAATGAAGAACGAAAGCGAATTTCCAATAGATACTCTACACGATACATTGCTGCATTGAACAATAAACATTAGATCCAATTTAAAGCTTCCTCAACTCACTGGTACAATACAAAGGCGTGCTTCATTTTTTATCTGATGTCCACACACAGAACACACGTGAATACAGTACGCACACAATAGATCACTAATAGTTAACACACTGAAAATTTCATTAAAGTATGTACCCATAATCTTAGCCCATTGAGACAGTTACACGGTTTAACCAAAGAACACACAGAGGGCTGAGGAAAAAAGGGAAAAGGGGGGGGGGGATGCTCAGTCTGGAGTTGCAAAGGTGTGCAGATTTTAAGTCAAGAGTCAGGCACGTGACTCCGTGGGGCTTCAGCCCCCGAGCCTAATATATACCCATCAGTTGCTTTGTCTCAGCCTTGAGCTATGCAAGGTCAAAACCCCAGTTATGATACTCAATCTATGGGAACTTAAACCCCGGGGCTTAGGGAACAAACCAATGAGATTCCATTCTCCTTTAAAGGAAGGAGCTCCTAATTAGACTGAGCTTTAGTCATAGTAAATAGTAGTAGACACCCAGATCAATCAGATCGCTTTTCGAGTTATTATGCTTCAGAAGTTTCGCTTGAATGTACGGGGACTTTTGCCCATGACTTGACTCTCCCCCAAGCCACTTGACTTGCAGCTTATATACGACTGTTTCTCCATGCGACACCCATCGGTACCAGAGGGAGAATAGAATAAAGTCAAGTAATTGATACAACACTGCAAGATGGGACACTAAAAAAATATACTTTTTGTTTCTCAAATAGAAGTTTTTTTGGGGGGGACCTTTCTCACCTCCTTTTTGTATACAAGATAAAATGTGACTTCCAAAAAATAGGGTCAAACTCGCAATACTGTAGATGTTGCTGCCAATATTTTCAAGGTAATTTTTAAATAGAACATTTGTTTAAAAAGTGAACCATCTTGTAGTTTTTAAAAGATATGTTTTTGCACTGGGGAAAAAAGCAAGGATTATAATCAGACTGTTATTTTTCTTCCAAAGAGAGACAGTTCTAGTTCTTGGGGCGTTTCTAGTTTAGTAAGGAGTGCCATATGTACCTGGACAGAACAGAAACAAATAAAAGCGATGCTCTTTTGTTATAAAAATATTTAGTTATCCTGACAATTTCATAGACGTTCCGCATACTTGTTGATCAAATGAGTTCGATTGTGACCCAGCAGTACAAACACATATCTTGGTTTTCGAATATTGGGAAGGGGAATTTAAATTTCAAATGCAAAAGTCAATATAGAATTTAAAAAATCCGAAGAGAGCTGTCATCGTTATTTCAAACATTCTCTTCAACAATCAAGTATCTGAAAAACTGATTTTTCCGCTTGAGTAAGAGAGAGAGAGAGAGAGAGAGAGAGAGAGAGAGAGAGAGAGAGAGAGAGAGAGAGAGAGAGAGAGAGAGAGAGAGAGAGAGAGAGAGAGAGAGAGAGAGAGAGAGAGAGGGGGGGGGGGCCCGCTGTGATAGCTGACATTTCTGTGTGCGCGTCAGGCTCATTTGTCCAGGATTGTCTGAGCTGTGGGGGAAGCTCCGAAAACTTCCCAAAGAGAGCGGGCCATTGCTTGGAGTTCAGTAAGTTCGGGACCAAAGAAGTGTCATTTGAACTTCAACAGATTTCTAACTAAAGCAAGTAGGACAGGGGGCGGGGGCAGGAAAGGAAATCTTTTCAATGGTTTAGACCACACAGGCTAATTAAAGAGGAGGTGAATAACATAAGAGGATTGTTGGTTTTCATTTGAAATTGCAAATGACATGGAAGAGATATAGTGCATGTTATACAAAAGAAAAGGAAATTGAAAAAGTATAACACACGAGACCGTCGATGCGACATTGTCAATGCTCGGGTGCCCCCTTTAAAGATAATAATAATAATAATAATAAAAATAATAATAATAATAATAATAATAATAATAATAATAATAATAATAATAATAATAATAATGTGACCAAACTGACCAAAAAACAAAACAACCCCCCCCCCCCCCACCTGTACCCGCGGGAAAGCCTATAACTCTCCACCAAAGAGTACAATTCACACAAAAATTGATAGAAAACAAGCTGAACGATCCGAAAGGAGAAACATCTAACAAAAACAACAGTACCTTGGAAGCAGTCATGGCTACTCCGAATATATAGTTCACTGTTGAACTACATATTTTCACTGTTGAAACAATATCTTGAAACAAGGTGCCCTTGCAGACACAGCATTTCTTCTGTAAACCGTGTGGAATCAACACAAAAGACCATACGAAAACATCAAGTAAAGTAACAATACTTAAGTGGGTGGTTGACTTCAAGTCACCTGGCTCTGTTGAAAATAAAACCAAGAGATAAAAAACTAGGGTCACCAACAATGGGAGACCGATGCAGATGCGCACTCTTGAGAATGTGGCAGCGGTGATGGAGTATGAGAGCGAAGAACCTAAATGGGGCTGTTCAAATATAATCTTACACCTTTTTTGGGACTTTTTGACCCCCCCCCTTTCTTACACTTTTCTTACATTTGCCCTTATCCCCCCCCCCCCCCCCCCCGTAATATTACACTGTTCGCTTATAATGATAAGAATAATATGACGTTTATATCGCGCAAATCCGTAAAACAATCATTGCTCTATGTGCATTGCATAATATTCATGAAAAACATGCATACACACATACATGCACATAATATATGCACAAAAAAATAATAGGTGTCACGACATGGTGGGATCATACGCTCGTCAGTTTTGATTTTTGAAGCATACAGAGTTATTCAATTGATATAATCTTAAAGCCTGTCCATTTGCCTTCCTTTTGATGAAAACAATATTCATCTATGCTGAATAGAAGTCGAAATGTTTGTGATTGAAGGAGGTGGGGTCACTTGATTTCAGAGGTAAAGTTAGTGAGACAACGGCCGCCAAAGTTTGATAACTTCAATAGCTTGAGAGCCTATAAAACTGAAAAATCACAAATTTTGTGCATGTAATTAACGTTTTT